AAATGGAGCTCCGTTTTCACTGGCAGAGTACTCGGGCCACCACAGGCACCCCCAACACGAGTGATGTAGAGCTGGCCATGCCCCCCCGAGGTCATACACAACCTTGATGCGGCCCTCCCTGAAATCGAGATTGACACTCCGAGCTAGAGGAACCATCCATAGCAGGGGTGCTATTCATCAGGTTCTGACAGGTTCTGGAGAACCGGTAGCGGAAATTTTGAGTAGTTTGGAGAACCGGCAAATATCACCTCTGGCTGGCCCCAGAGTGGGTGGGATGGAGATTTTGCAATATTCTTTCCCCTGGAGTGGGGAAGGAATGGAGATTTTGCAGTATCCTTCCCCTGGAATGGGGTGGGAATGGAGATTTTGCAGTATCCTTCCCATGGAGTGGAGTGGGAATGGAGATTTTGTGGTATCCTTCCCCTGGAATGGGGTGGGAATGGGGATTTTGCAGTGTCCTTCCCCTGGAGTGGGGTGGGAATGAAGATTTTGCAGAATCCTTCCCTGCCATGCCCACCACACCACGCCCACCAAACCATGCCCACAGAACCGGTAGTAAAAAAAAATTGACTTCCACCACTGATCCGTAGTCAACAGCCACGGTCCAACCAAAGCAAAATATTTCTTTTAGTGAGCATCGATGATCCAGATCCTATCTATTACAGAATGTCATCTGATGGAGCCCAGGAAGAGAGCTTTTTCTGTTGTGGCGCCCACCCTTTGTAACTTCATTTCTCCAGGGATTAGATTTGCAAGGTCTTAAAGATGCAGTTTTATCCTTGTGCTGGAGAGTTTGGATGTGTGGAAAACTGTGCAGTCATTGTGTTTAATCTGTCACTTAGTTTTTCTTTTAACCTTGGCTTCTGATCAGTATTTCTATGGAGTTTTTATATAATTTTAATGTAGTTTTTAATTGTTGTCTGCCACCCACAGTCATGACTTTGAGACGGAAAGCCAAATAAATATAAATGAATGAATAAATATAATAAAAACCCTATCAGGAGGAGGATAATTAAATTTTTAGACCTCCCTTCCTCCAAATATAGAGGCAGAATGTAAATCAGAGTCAGCAGTATTCCTATAATTCTAAAATATATTAGAAATAAAACGAAATTCAGTAATAAAATATCAAAATCAAAAGATATGAAAGAATGGCCTTACTGGCTAATATGCCTGGTGGTGCTTCTATGAGATGTACTCTAACACCTGATTGAAATTATGTAAATAAAAGTATATCACTTAGGTTATGATTGGATAGCAAATACTGTACTTAAAAGTTATCAGTTGCATAAGAGGTACAGCAAAATAAGACAGAAATATAGTCATGAAAGCTCAAAACTTACTTTTATAGTATTGATTTTATTATCATTTTAAATTCCAAACATTTACTTGTATTTAATTTTAAAAAAATAAAATTACAATACAAATTACGTTGTGCTCAGATTTCTTTTAATTGTTTGCATAAGTCTTTGAACCTTTATTTTAATACTTTTTCTGTCTACTCCTGGTATCTGCTGCCATCTAGCGACGAAAGAGAATGTCTCTTTTTATTTCCTTAGGTCATTTATTAATAATTGAAATGCTTAGCACTAGCAAAACCTTGTTAACTTTTTATGCTGTTTTAGTTTTAGGCTGCATGCCTGCTTTGGAACAGGCTTATACAGCAAAATGTCAGTCTATAGGTATCCTAAGGATATCCTTAGGATATCCTTAGGATATATTTATATCCTTAAATATAAAGTATAGGGTTTAAAGTGCTTACCCAGCAGTTAATTTGGGGAATGTAAAATGTGAAACCAACTGCATCTGTCAGGAAAACTGACCATATTGTTTCTCCTTTTAAAACTTAATTTGGAAGTGGGCTGAAATATATAGCAGTGATTGTTGATTTTGTGATTTGTTGAAAGTAAAGCTTCTGATCTCTGTGCCTTTGTTATTTGGAAGGGAATGAAGAAAAATAAATTCAGTTTGGAGAATAAATGTATGAGGGGTTTTTTGGGTTGTTGTTTTTTAAAGATCTCAGAATAAGCAATAAACAGAGAAATGTGATTCTATCATAGCCTACAGTTATTTTGCTGTCTGGTTCTTCTGATAGCTAGTGGGCTTCTGCAGTCAAGTCATTAGATAAATAAAGTATTTTCTTCTGACACTTTCAGTGGTTTCACACAAAAATAGTTGAACTGTGATTTTCAGTTTGCAAGATATAATGCTGCCTGAGGAAAGCACTGCCAAGTACTCCACTCATAAAATCCTATACATATTTAAGTCCTTGACTTACAACACTTCATTTAGTGAACATTTGAAGTTACAATGCAACTGACAAAAGTGACTTACGACCATTACAGCATCCCCATGGTTACCTGATCAGAATTCGGATGCTTGGCAACTGACTCATATTTATGACGGTTGCAGTGTCCCAACATCATGTGATCAGCTTTTACGGCCTTCTGACAAACAAAAGTCAACGGGGAAGCCAGATTCACTTAACAGCCATGCTGCTCACTTAACAGTAGCTGTGATTCACTTAACGATAGTAGCAAGAAAGGTTGTGAAATGGGGCAAAATTCACTTAACCAATGGCTCACTTAGCAACAAAAATGTTGGACTTAATTATGGTCATAAATCAAGAACTACCTGTAATTCACTGCACTGCTCCAAAAGCTGATCTAAACGAAGCAAGATTAATGTCCTCATATCTTGTAGACTTGGAATAATTGGATGTCTGTTTTTGTCAGTGTCAAAATCTCTGGTTTTGGGGAAATGGGGAAAATCAGCCGTGCTCCATTATTCTTTTCAACAGCGTCTTTCAATGACACTGTTGTCCCTCCTATTTTGGTTTTTTTGTCTTCTGGAAGCCATGATGATGGCTGAGGTTGAGGGTGCTGTATCAAGTTTTAAGAAAATAATAATAATACAGCCAGTTAAGATGACTTATCCTTACCTATTTGTAAATTCCAAATAGTATTTTCATATACCTCAGTTTTCATTCATTCCCATTTAATTTGACCATGTGCATAACACTTACTACTGTACAATGGAGTGGATTAAAAAGGAGCAAATCATTTGGAATAGGACTAGTTTATTCCTAACCAAGTCAGCTCTGAGCAACACAAATTAATACATTAATCAGTATCGACTTAATACTGGAGCCCAATCCAAATTACTATGATTCTTTTTCTGGAATGAAAGTCTCTATCTTTTCCTCACCTCCTAATGCAGGGGTGTCAAACTCAAGGCCAAAGCACGGGGTGCTTAGATCTGGCCCGCAGGACCACCCTGGAAACAGTGAAGGACTGGCCCGCAGGGGCGGGAAAGGAAGAAGAAGAAAAGAAAGAGAGAAGGAAAAAGAAGGGAAGGGAGGGAGGGAGGGAGGGAGGGAGGGAGGGAGGGAGGAAGGAAGGCAGGCAGGCAGGAAGGAAGGAAGGAAGGAAGGAAGGAAGGAAGGAAGGAAGGAAGGAAGGAAGGAAGGAAGGAAGGAGATTATAATGAGAGTGAGGGAGGGTCTGGGGGAAGTTCTGCCTTAGCACTTGGCCACTACAGGTGCCCTGACATGAGTGCTGGCCATGCCCATTCCAGCCCCGTAAGGTCAAACACAAAACTGATGCAGCCCTCAATGAAATCGAATTTGACACTTCTTTCCTAATGCATGCAGTATTTCTACATTTGTACTCCTAGACATATTCTATTCATCATCTTGCACCCACATCATAAGGTGGGTGCAAGGATGCAAAACCAGGAATTGGAAGGTTATCTTAGTGGACTGGCCATGTTTATATTAACCTTGGTGGCGCAGCAGACTAAAGTGCTGTTAAGTAGCACCAGCTGCCTGCAATTACTGCAAGTTCAAATCTCACCAGGCTCAAGGTTGACTCAGCCTTCCATCCTTTCAAGGTAGGTAAAATGAGGACCCGGATTGTGGGGGCAATAAGCTGACTTTGTATAAAAAAAACGCCGCTTAGGGGGGGCCGAAAGCCCTACTAAGCAGATATATACAAAAAGTATGAAGGCTATTGCTTAACGCATTGTAAGTTTCCGGAGAAGGGCGGCATATAAATCAAACCAATCAATCAATCAATCAATCAATCAATCAATAAACCGCAAACACACACACACATACCCTCCTTACGTGACGCTACCTCCTCATGCTAGAACAAGGAAAATAGAATATCTAAAGCATTTTGCTTTGAGCCAGGATGCCCCCAAATTCTGTTTTCGTAAGCAGGTTTATACAAATCCCTGTTCTCTTGTTTTCAGATCCTTTATCTGTAATATAGGGATGAAAACAGATTGGATTCAGACTTAGTCACGCTTAGATCAGTTCTATTAAAATCAAAGAGAAAGACATGATGAACACAAATCCCATTATTTTCACTAGGTTTACTCATTGAACAGACTTATTTTGTACTGAAGTAAGGCTGTGAGATTTTCTATCCCTCCCTCCCAAAAAAAAGAATGAAGTATAAAGGTGAAGCATAATATCTGGAATTTTCTATTTGTTATTGACTTCTAAGCTCATCACCAGAGGCTGTCTTTAGAGGAACTCTGAAAACTTAGATCTGGATAGAAGTATTTTAGAGTATTAGCATTTCAATTAATTTACTTATTAACATTTCTAGAACTGTCCACGTGGTATTTTGCGGATTTTCCTTATAAACCATTCTGTCAAAATGGAATGCATGTTGATGCTCAAATGTATCTTTAAAAATGTGTCTTAGAGCTGTTGGATTTTTAAAAATCTCAATACGTATCTTTTTAAGTCTTTTTAAATATTTATGTTTTCTATACTTATCTTCCCAATTTTAATTGGCCATTTTGGTTTTTACATTATAATTACATAGTAATGATGCTATCATGTTTATTTTTATTATTGTCCCAGATCCTGAATTGAATGAATAAGTAACCTCTCTCCCTCTCTCCCTCCCTCCCTCTCGCTCTCTCTCTCTCCCTCCCTTCCTCTCTTTCTCCCTCCCTCCGTTTCTCTTTTTCTCTCCTCTTGACAGAGGTTCATTTGAAGATTCTACAACCAGATTTTATACAGCTTGTGTGGTAGAAGCTTTTGCCTATTTGCATTCCAAAGGAATCATTTATAGGGACCTCAAGCCAGAAAACCTCATCCTAGATCATCGAGGTTATGCCAAATTGGTGAGTGGTGGGGAAGTTTTCCTCCCAAACAGCGATAAAATATTACATCTGTAGTTAAGGTTCAGTTGCCACTCCCGTTGTCATAAAATGCCATTTCTAAAAGCCATAAAACTGTACTTCTAGCTGAATCGCAGTATTCATCTCTGCAATTCTAGGACAAATCAGTTTATCAAAGAATTAATACAAACTGATTAATTTCTGGGAGCCAAATAAGCAAAAATTGACTATTGTTCTTCTCCTTATAATTTCAGAAGTTTGTTTTCTTCTGTTGCACCCTTCTGGAACTGGAGCAAGATTTTAATAACTTAATGAACTTGAAGAAATATGATTATAAAATTTATCCCACTATGACTTTCGGGTTTTTTAAATTATTTATTTACATTTCATATTTCTAGACTACCCAGCTCCTCCAGAGCTTTCTTTTAATACTCTTCCTTTGAAAATTTTCTCATGAAGCCTATTCTTTAGATGTGCTCGTGAAAACCTGTGTTGTGACCATCTCTTTCTGTGTTTGTGCCTGCATAAAGTGCTTTTAACTTTTTGTCTTCCTTGATGGGTGTGTGAACCTTCTTTCACAGGTCGATTTTGGTTTTGCAAAAAAAATAGGATTTGGAAAGAAAACATGGACTTTTTGTGGAACTCCAGAGTACGTAGCTCCAGAGATCATTCTGAACAAAGGACATGATATTTCAGCAGACTACTGGTCACTGGGAATCTTAATGTATGAGCTCTTGACTGGCAGGTATGGGCATTGAATTGGAGCTGCAGATAAAAATAGTTCAGCAAACTGGAGAATATTTCTGCTGTTGTCACTTTGATTAGAAGAGTTGGGATTCAGAGCTGGCATACGCTATGATAAACAAAAATAGTGTTTAAAAACATACTATGGAGTTACTTATTATGATTTTCAAGGATTTACAACCTGCTTTCTAGCAACTAAAGTCTTTGGATGACCACTATAAGAGGAAAGGGTATTGATGAGGCAAATTTACTATTTTTGTTCATTTCATTCTAATTGGTGAGCACTTCCCTGCCCCTGCCCCCGCCCACAATACCAAATCAACCTGGGTTTTTCTACCAGTTCACCAAATCATGAGTTCATGGTACCAGTTCAGGGGTGAAATCTACTTACCTTCCGTACCGGTTCAGAAGTGCACGCGCCGACCCTCAGCACATGTGCAAACCCTGGTTAAAACCAGGAAGTAACGACAACCGGGTGGGTGGGCGGAGCCTCGAGCTGCCATCGCTACCAGTTCTCCGAACCACCGGCCGTCATTGCTACCGGTTCGAGCTAACCGGTCCGAACCGGGAGGAATTTCACCCCTTTACCAGTTAGATATGTTTCGATCGATGCAGATTGAACTGAACTTCAATTTTCAAGAAGGAACTTGAAACATCTCTTCAGAACATAAGGCAATCAAAACAAAATGGAAACATGCTAGAAAGCAGCTAGGTAGCATTTTGAAACAAACATTTCTAAAGAAAAGTTGAATGTAGCTTTTATTTCTTTTTTTTAAAAAATCACTAAAGACATTGAATAGGAAGATTAAAAGGGAACCAGTTTGGTCTAGTGGTTATGGCACCAGGCTAGAAAGCAAAAAATCAGTGAGTTCAAATTCTGCCTTAGCTATGAAAAGTCAGCTGAGTGATTTTGAGCCAGTTACTCTCTCTCTCGCTCTCTCAGCCCCAATTCACCTCCAGTGAGAATTGTTGTTGTGGAGAAAGTAAGCAGGAAGGTTGTGGGGAAATTAAGTGGGAAGGAAGGTTATGTCTTGAGTTATTTGTTAAATTAATAAAGATGGGATATAAATGATCAAATAAGTAAAAGATTTCTGAGTATAATATTTTAGAGGCTGCTAGCTGAACCCCCTTGGAGTCTATATTTCTTAAAGCTGCCAAGTTTGAAGACCTCTGGCCTAATGGCTTACTTTTTTTGGGATATTATCATTACAATAGTGTCACTGAAAATTAAGAAAAATACCTGTATACATTGCAAACAATCAACACAGAGTTATAGCTTTTTCTTTTTTTTTAACAGACTATCTCTTTTCTTAAAGTTAGAAACATAATATAAAAATAAGTCGGAGCTGCTTGATTTCAAGAACTTCAATCAGTGGAAGATATAGATTAGCATAATTTTATATGCAGCTCAACAGATTTAGGCCAGCAACTCATGGATTTAAATCATTCTTTTAAAAAAAAAAATTAAAAATCCTTACAAAATCAAAATACTGTTTTAAAAAGGAATTATTACCTACTTCACAGAATAACACGGAAGTCTTTAAACATTTAGAAATGCTATACAGTCCAGTAAATAATAATAATAGTACTATCTATAGTAATAGATCCTTACACTAGTGCCAAACTGTGCATCCTCTAATGTCTTTAAATTAGTTTGGAATTTAGCCATTAGATATGTCCATTATACAAATAAGCCTTGATTTACAACAGTTCACTTAGTTCAAAGTTACAACAAACTGGAAAAAATGACTTACGACCCTTTTTCACAAGAAAAACCACTGAAGCATCCTCATAGTCATGTGATCAAAATTCAGATGCTTGGCAACTGACTCATATTTATGACGGTTGCAGTATCCTGTCATGTCATCACCTTTTCTGACCCTGTGACAAGCAAAGTCAAGGGGAAGCCAAATTCACTTAACAACCATGTTACTAACTGAACAATTGCAATGATTCACTTAACAACTGTGGCAAGAAAGGTTGTAAAATGGGGCAAAACTCACTTAACCACTGTCTCATTTAGCAACAGAAATTTTGGGCTTAATTATGGCCATAAATCAAGAACTACCTGTAATGAAGTATTGTAAGAATAAAATACATCATTGTAAGTGACAAACTCAGTTGGATTCTTACAGGATGAACTGCAATAATTTCCTATCATGCCTGCATGTATGTTTTCCCAATATTTGGCATATGAATTTCCATAAGCATTTTGGGTAAAATAATAGCACAAAGCTTTATTATTTGCTTATTACCAAACTACTGTTTACAAAATATTCCAGAAAAAAATGTAAAATGTTATAAGCTCTGTGCAATGGTTAATACTTTCCCAGACTGATCCTGGGAATTTGAGGGTTCCAGATGTTTCTCAAAACACTGTTTTTCAATCTTGGCAAGTTTAAGATGGGTGGAATTTGACTTCCAAAATTCATGAATTAAAGTTGCTGAGGTTGAGAAACACTAGTGTGAGTGATGAAGATAGGAAATAGTTTAGCAACTTAGGATGCGCTCCCAAATTTGGAGTCTTGGCTGTTCTTTCAATCTTGATAATTTTTTTAAAAAAAAATATCATTCAAGAACAGAAAAGCATGAAAGTGAACTGCAAGATATGTATAGCTGCACACCTGTATAATCTGAGTCCCATTTATTTGCCATTTGTGACTTTTACGATAATTGAGCAAATGTTACCCTGTTTCCTCCAAAATAAGACATCCCCTGATTATAAGCCCAATTGGGCTTTTGAGCGCATGGCAATAAGGCCAAGCGCTTATTTTAGGGTTCAAAAAAAATATAAGACAGGGTCTTATTTTCGGGGAAACACAGTAAAACTTTGGTTTTCTGGTATTTTACGGATAGCTTTTATTCTGTAACAGGATAAAAGCAGCGTCCTAAGTGATTTTCTTATTCTCACCTGTGATGTAGACATCATAACTACATTATAAGCAGCATATAGTAATCATCCATAATCATCCAAAATAAGGTAAAGCAGGTTTCAGTTTATTTGTGTGTATATATATACACACACATATATATACATACATACACATACATACATACTTTACTATATTTTAATATATATATATATATATATATATATATATATATATATATATATATATATATATATAAATCTATATATACTAGATTTTAATTAGTATTTGATTTCTTTTTCTGTAGTCCACCTTTCTCAGGCCCAGATCCCATGAAAACATATAACATCATACTAAGGGGGATTGACATGATTGAATTTCCAAAGAAGATTGCCAAAAATGCTGCTAACTTAATTAAAAAACTATGCAGGTAAATTCTTTATATGTTTTAGTAACCTCACAAATAAAGATATATATGTGGGTGGGTGTGGTGGGTGTGTGTATATGTATATGTGTGTATTAATTTTTAATGGTTCTTGTTAATTAAATTCATTGATGTCAATATTTTGTTTTCATTCTTTATTACTGACATTGTTAGCCATTGTAAGCCACACACACACACACATATACACTGCTCAAAAAAATAAAGGGAACACAAGCAGAAGACATCCGAGATCTGAATGAATGAAATAGCCTTATTAAATACTTCGTTTGTTACATACAGTAGTTTTGTGTTCCCTTTAGTTGTTTGAGCAGTGTATAAACTACTGTATGTAAAGAACAAAGTATTTAATAAGGCTATTTCATTCATTTAGATCTCAGATGTCTTCTGCTTGTGTTCCCTTTATTTTTTTGAGCAGTATATATTGTGTGTGTTGTATATATAAAAGCTTGTTCTAGTACATATAGAAATACACACACAGACACACATATACATATATATGTTGTTGTTGTTAGTTGCGAAGTCGTGTCTGATCCATCACAACCCCATGGACAATGTTCCTCCAGGTCTTCCTGTCCTCTACCATCCTCTGGAGTCCATTTAAGCTCACACCGACTGCTTCAGTGATTCCATCCAGCCACGTCATTCTCTGTCGTCCCCTTCTTCTTTTGCCCTCAATCTTTCCCAGTATTAGGCTCTTCTCCAGTGAGTCCTTCCTTCTCATTAGGTGGCCAAAGTATTTGAGTTTCATCTTCAGGATCTGGCCTTCTAAAGAGCAGTCAGGGTTGATTTCCTCTAGGACTGACCACTTTGATCGCCTTGCAGTCCAAGAGACTCGCAGGACTCTTCTCCAGCACCATAGTTCAAAGGCCTCAATTCCTTGGCCCTCAGCCTTTCTTATGGTCCAATTTTCACAGCCATACATTGCAACTGGGAAAACCATAGCCTTGACTATATGCACTTTTGTTGGCAGGGTGATGTCTCTGCTTTTTAGTATGCTGTCTAGATTTGCCATAGCTTTCCTCCCCAGGAGCAAGCGTCTTTTAATGTCTTGGCTGCAGTTCCCATCTGCGGTGATCTTGGAGCCCAGGAAAATAAAATCTGTCACTACCTCCATTTCTTCCCCATCTATTTGCCAGGAATACATATATATAGTATACAGTATATAAAAGCTTTTTCTAATCTTTATAGAAACACACACACACACACACATAAAGCTTTTTCTAATACAAACACACACACATATACTAGAAAAAAAATTGATTTCCAACTTTCTTCTATAACTTTTTTCTTGTTCTTTTATTTTTAAACAGGGACAACCCATCAGAAAGATTAGGTAACTTGAAAAATGGAGTCAAGGATATTCAAAAGCACAAGTAGGTATATTTCAGGAGAAAAAGTAATCCTCTGTTTAAATCCATCAATATATTTAATATATAGGTGTATTTTTTGCACAGAAGAAAAACTGAATGAAATGAGAGTTACCACAATCCAATATCTGCAATATTTTGCACCAGAAACCTGACTATTATAAGACAGCTATGCAGAATGCATCTGCATATATTCTGAGTAGAGTGGGCTTCAACTTGGTATCATAACCCCAAACCTGGATGTGCTAACTATCTATGCAGAATTAAAGATTTTGCCATGGAAATAAACGAAAACAACTTCAAGGTCAATTAGAATCAGGTAGCACCAAAATTCAATAACATAATGATATATAATACAATAAATTTAACATAATGTAACAACATAATAAATGAAATTGCTTCGGAAGCCAATCAGCAATTCCTGTTCAACATAATACAACATAAACAGGAGACAGGTTAAATGTAAATAGGGTTACAAATATCCAAATATCAGATCTCCTAAAGATATTCATTAGCTTTTTAAAAAAAATTTACATGTTTGAAGAAGTCAGATAGCCAGTATCAAAGTATCTGTCCATCTGCTTCAGCATCTGTGAATCTCATGTCATTTAATGGACTTATTCTATTATTATTTTTTTCATCACAAATTAGACATCTGCATCTGGACAGAGCCTTGATTCAGAATTTTCTCTAACTGAGGAAAATTCTTGGTACCATCCTAACTACCCACAATTAGTATAAAACAGGGGTGTCAAACTCATGTCACGGCAGTGTCATGTGATGTATTAGGACTTTTTCCCCGTTCGCTAAACTGGGCGTGGGCGTGGCCAGTGCATGACGCATCAGCACACAAGCTTTAACAGCCCTGATACAAGGTTAGAGGGTTTCAGAAATGTAATTTTTGTAATGTTTAATGTTAGGCTACTTGGTCTTGCTGCAATGGTAATGGATCATATCAATGTTCTTGTATTATTTTATCTTCTGACTTTAGGTGGTTTGAAGGCTTTAACTGGGAAGGTTTAAGAAAAGGTACATTGACACCTCCTATTGTACCAAGTGTGAGTATAGCTTTATTACTTGCTAAAATGTATATATTGGAATCATAACTTAAGAAAGTTGCTGAATAAACTCATTGGAAAAAACAAGCAGGAGCTCTGAGTCAAAACATGGAAATGTGTTCTTCTCTTACATTAGCATTCCCATGTATGCAGACCTCTGCTTGACTTCATTTTCAGAGACGTGCAGTAAGAGTATATCTGAAGACTTCTTCTGACAAGGAATCAGTGATGAAGCTTATAGTAAAATACAAAAGTTTAGGTTGAAATGTATTTTAATGAAATCTTTACCTCTTTACTACTGAAAGCTTCTTTGTTCTTCTTCCAATTTACATTGCCTCAGTTCTCCTTTTCATTTCTTCTATCACGCCATCAGTTTCTAAATGTCGTATTAGATCATACTCTGTTGTACTCAATGGACAACATGTCATACTTTTTTCCAATTTGGCATAAATAAGATTTAAGAGTAACAGAGTTGGAAGGGACCTTGGAGGTCATCTAGTCCAACCCCCTGCTGACCTTTTTTATTGACAAGCTCAGTATCCTGGCACTGAGCCACCTTAATTTCCATGCAGAGCCATTTTGAGGACAACAGTAAATATTGGTATCAATACTGATAATAGGGCCCTAAAAATATTATTGAAAGAAAAAAAGGAAATACCTATTTTTAACTTTGGCTTAAGTCTTTTCCCTTTGTTTCCACTAAATTTGTAAAAAAAAAAAAAGAAAGAAAAAAAGTGAAGATCAAGTGCCATTCTGTTAAATATGGATTTAAGAACATCTATTTCTATATAAAACATAACTCTGTTTAGCAGAAAGAAGTCATGGTTTGAGAATACTATTTAAGACAGACAAACCTGAAAAATATTCCCGTTAGATAAACACAAAGGAAATCCCTCTTGTAATTGTGGCCTGTTGAAACTATTATTATGAGAACGGTGGACATGCTAATTAAACTTGGGTTAAATTCTGGTGGTGATTAATGTGATTGCTTTTCTTTCAATACACATTACTTTGCTACAACTTGTACTTAGTTTAATTTTCTGCATATTATTTGTATTTTACCACATGAAACAAATATTTCCTATCAGATTTGAATGTATACTCATTGTGAATGAAATTTAAAATATTTGACTTTTCTGATCTATTTTCACACATTCTCTATGGAATTCTTGAATTCCTTTACCCTATGTTTCAACTAGTAGATAGAAAAGTACATAATACATAGGAATCTGTAAATTATGTATAACCCCCCCAATAATAATTAACATATTCAAGAATTACTAATTCTGTTTGAATGAATGTACATTTCAATCTATTTAGCAATCAGGAAGGTAATTTTTCTCAAAATAGTAAGTTTTCTTCTGTCATTCAGTCTATTATCGTGACACCCCCCAAGCAATGACAATTTTCAGGAACAGTACTACAAGATTTAATGTATTTTGGAGGAGAGAGAATATCTGTGTTGTCTTTATTATATTGGCTTTTAATCATTAAACAGATACTTCACTACTGGTGCTAATATGAAGAAAAAATATTATTCCTGGGAGACATACAAATATAGATACTACTGGGAAACACTTATCATATCATATTACTTATGCCTTGTTAATTTTTAATATTTTGAGTCCACTTTTCTAAAATATACGATATATTTTATTGTATATTTTACAATATACAATATTATTTTAAGTTTAAATCAATCAATCTCAATTTATTCTAATTTGTTATATTCCTTATTAAGTCTTTCACATTCTTGCAAACAGATTTCTCCCAAGTCAAATGATATACAAAAGCAGTTGAAATTTATATCATGAACCTACCATATTTAATTCAATAAATATGGGATCATACAGCGTCAAGTTAAATGGAAAACACCAGCAATTTGTTTTCCCACTTTCTAAGCTTTTGTTGACTTTTTTTTAACCTATCTGTCATATGTGGCATAAATAAACACAGACCTTTTAGATATGGACAAAGGCAGCAATTTCTTTCTCCTCTGTCATTGCTTGTATGCATTTTCTAAACAGCTGTATGCCAATTCTGTTTTTCACACATACAGTATAACCTGCCATGCATTTGCATTAAATCCCAGCTTTGTAGATCAGTTCAAGGGGCTGTCAATGTCATTAAGAAATCTTTACATTATTTTGTCAAACTCTCCATTCTAGTTAGGAAATACTAAGAAGCCAAACCCATTCATTTGAAGGTTACTTCAAAATTACTTTCTAAATACACAAGTGGCCAAAATTGTGGAAACCTTTTGGGAAAAGTGTATTGTTTGGCTAATAACACCACTTTTTTTTGGAGTTTCAAGATAATCCTATTCCACTGCTGGAATGGCCTGGGAATAGCCCAGACCTTAACCCAATTGAAAATCTATGGAGCCGACTAAAGAAACTCGTTAGTCAGAAGCGACCCAGCAATAAAACCCAGTTAATAGAAGCAATCGTTCAATCTTGGTTTCACATTATCACAGCTGCAGAACTAAAAGATTTGGTTCACTCCATGGGAAGACGACGTCATGCTAAAGGTTACCCAACTAAGTATTAACTGACATGGTGATAATTTTTGTATATCTCCTTTTTTCTACGTGTTTCACTTTTCTTCTTTATACTGTAACTGCTATTCTAATGGCAAATCCTTCATAAAAGTTATGGCATTACATTCTTGATTAAATTATCTTTCCATTGATATATAATTTTATGGTACTACTCCCCAAAAAAAGTGGTGTTATTAGCTAGTTTTAGAAAATACACTTTTCCCAAAAGGCTTCCACAATTTTGGCCACTACTATATACAATCAGCCTGCCTTATTCAAAAAAAATTATGGGGTGCCCATTATACCCTTTCATCTTTTTCCATCACTTTTTTTCATTATTTTTGTTCTGAAGAATGCACTTTGCACCCTTCTTCTTTTGACTTCTTTACTTCCCCTTTTACCCTTTTGGGTGTCGAGGAACTAAAGGCCTCCTAACCATGATATTCCCATTCACAGAATATTTTTAATAGCACTACCTAGAACAATATTATGAATGAAAATGGCAGAATCCTACATTTCTGAGCCGTCTCTAACTCTCACTGGCCAACATGAATTCACAAGTGGTATAAAGAGCTCACCGTTGAAATCAGAAAATTGTCTAAAGATTCCAAATGCAGCAACTAACACTACCAATAGTTTAATTTTCTTCATTGGACAGGTTGCATCTCCAACTGATACAAGCAATTTTGATAGCTTCCCTGAGGACAACGATGAACCACCACCTGATGACAACTCAGGATGGGACATAGACTTTTAATGTTTTTCTCTTACCTGCTTCTGCCTTGCTGAAGACAGCTTCCTGAGACATGGCTGCCAGCAGACCTGAAAGATTTGGGAAGGATTCATGCTCGGGGTCACCACGATGCCTTGATTGATGCTGCTACAGTAATTACAGTGGCATTAGGACTTCTTGTTTAGATGACAATAGTGCTCTTCACATGTTTTCTGTTTGAATTTAACACAGCAGTTGACATGGTGGTCCTGAAGCGAAACTTTTTTCACCAATAATTTACATGTGTTTTCTATCATGGTACCGAACATGCTATGCCTCCATTACGATTTGAAAGTTCATAGAATAAGATGCACATAATTCTAGCTGTTAAGTTCCTTTTCTTTATTGATAAATATATTCCAAGCTGTTTAAGTACTGTAGCTGATTCTATGCCTGTAGAATCAATGGTACAGTAACTGGGGTACCCCCCCAAACTGCAGGTTGAGTGCATTGAGCCTCTTAAAGAAGGCCAATGTGTTAAACTAAGGAGGACCAGGAAAAAAAAATGGAGCTCATGTCAAAGCAGTGCTATAATTTGTCTTTCTTTTCAAGCAGTATACAAGACAAGAATGAATGTTACCTTTCTCCATTTTTAGTTCCGACACGCTTTTCTTCCCAACTGATAACAGAAGCACAACTGCTACACTTCCTGCTAAACTGTTAGGCAAGTTTAACAGAGGATTAAGTCAGTCAATCCTCAAATCATATGTCTGAGAACTTACTTTTCATCGTTTCTTTTGTGGATTACAGATGCATAAGATCATGTGAAAAAAATGTTCATAAAACTATTTGTTTTACGTATATACCATAACCATCTTTTAAAAGAAAAAAGGAAGAATGCTTATTTCAGAGGTCCTACAAAACAAAATATTAACCAAACTGTAAATATTAGGCCTTTACAGTTACTTTAAAATAACAGTCACATTGAGAGCCCCCTGTAGTTGCAAAATCCACTACATTATTATATAGGTGCTATGTACATCTTTCATCTGTGAAAGAAAACAAACTTCCACACTCATTTTTTCAGAAAAAAAAGATGTAGCAAGAAATTTCACTATCAGTTAGAACTGTATGAGTGGATGAATTCCTGTGCACACTCATACATGGGTGATATATATATATATATACATATTTTTAATGCTACTGTGCAGTACTGCCCTCACTTTGTTTTCTTTTCTATTTTTCCCACAAATATATCCCACAAGTATTTTATTTATTTCCCCCAAAGATAATTAGTCAATCTTTCTTTGTAAAATATAACTCCTACAGATCAGTCTACAAACATGGAACAATGTAATTGAAACAGGATGCTTCAATATGCCCTTCCTTTTAAAAGGAAGATTAAATTTCACCTTTAAATATGTCCTGTTGAAGTGGCCAAGTCTTTAAATGGGTCCATCTAAATTATGAATTATATCTACCAGTTATGAATCTTTTAATGGTCAGTGCTACAGACTAATTTGTCCATACTTGTTAGGGGAATTCAACATGTTCAGAGGACAGAAATGTCAAAAAGGCTATTATAGATAACAATTTTCGAGGCAATTCCAGCAAAGACTTCCATGTATCAGTACGACTTTGTTAGCATTTGTCAATATGCTGCTGAAGTAGTCTTGCATCTGTGACAGCTTCTTAAATCAGTTCCATAAAGAGAAAACCAACAGCCACATTTACAGAGGTCCATTTCCTTTGGAATTCTCTTCAGAGTTTAAAGACTTACCCTTTTCTCAAAATCCAGAAATAAATTTACACCTCTGGTTTTGTCACCATGCGTTAATTTAGCTTGCCTCCCATTATCTTTTCCCCGTATGTTGCCTAATACCATTCTGTTTATTTACTTCACCCTATTCAGCATTTGAAGTCCTATTAATGAGGATTGAATTCAGACTAAGTTATTACCATATATAGGCTATAATGCTATTACATTTTACTGGAAATAAATTCCACTGAACATAATGATGGGCCCATCTGATTAGACATGTGCAAGTTTATATATTTTTTCCTCTGAAATGTATGAAATATGAATCATGACTAGCTTGTACCACCATTTTCAGTGATACCAAAATTTAGCTATTTTAGTTATTTTACAATGCAGTACAGCATGTGCTTAGACAGAAGTAAGACCTACCTTGCTCAGCAGAACTTATTCTGAAATAGGTATATATAGGATTGTCTGGATCTAATCCAGTTTGCATAATTTAGAATTTCCCTGTCATTGAACAGGACTGTAAGATGAACTTGAAGCGAAACACTGGCTGTTGAATACATTGCACTGGTTTAGCATTATATCTAAAATTGTCAAAGTTCATTTTCCTCATAATTGATACTTAGAAATTAGCCCCAAAACATCCAGAAATGAAGCTCATTGGCTACTTCCAATTATCAGCAATTTATTTCAGTGAAAAAAAATCTCTCTAATCTAATACATTTGAACACAGAAGTTTGAAGGATAAAAAACAGAAAGAGTTGATATTATATTATTATAATCTCTTCATAATATTTTATACAAACTTGTGGCTTCTTTTTAAGATATTTAGTTTTGGAAAAAAAATACCATAGTGTTGTCTGTTCCTAGTGATGGCTTCCACCAAAAATAATAATGAAGAACCAGCATCAACCAGGACTGGTACGATATAATAAATCTGTCCTGGAAATAACACTCTGCTTCCAATAGACGTAGGACCATGAGTAGGAATCCTTGATGTGGCATTTAACATCCAATCACATGTACATCAAACAGCCTTACTAAAAGCTTCCAAACCTTAGTAAAGGTAAATCTTTTTAATTGAGCTTAGTTACTGGGAAGAGCAAGCAGTAGGCCACTGTAATTTTCTGGGATATATATATTTTTCCTTCCCTGTCTAAAATATAACCTGGTATTTCAATTTTAAACTTCACAACATTGTAAGATAGCAAATCAACCTTTCCTCGTACACAGGAAGAAATATTGTTGGCCATCCTCACAGAATCGGAATGACACCGTTTTTTCATAAGCAGTGAGCAAAATACATATGTAATGTTAAGGCACAAGTCAAGCAGAGATTAGAAAGCGTGATGATGAGAATAACTAGAATAAATTAGAATAATATCTGGCTGCGTAGGGAGGCAAAGGCTGTACAATCTTGAAGAGCAGAAGTAATCTTCAATCTTGTCAGTCCAAATTGAAATTTAGTCTACAGAAGAAAAAAAGGAGGGGGGGGGAACGACAGGTATTTTTTTCCTTGTTAAAATTAACCAGACATTTTCACCTCTTCTCATATCCATGAAATTAGATTCATTTGCTTGAAAGTGCAAGAAAGCATAAACGTCTGGGATTCACTTTCAGAATTTTCTATTGTCAGTTTCATCAGATAATTTTTCACATTCATAAGGGTGCCTGTAGCTTGAGTGGAATATTCCAGAAAGAAACACAGCACCATAGCTTAGTTAATATAACATCAGTTTTCTAGAAGGACTCCAAGCTTCATTTATAGTTTTTTTTTTTTTTTACAAATACACATCAGTGAGCAACTATACGAACACTACCCCACTTGTTAATCACTTCTGCTGCTTGTTAGTCACCCATAATTAATTGTATATAACAAGTCTTAACAAAAACACATAATTTAGAATATAAATAATGCTGATTTTGCTAATAGGGCTAAAAGATTTCCATAGTCATTCTGGTCAAGTTTCCTTGTTTATACATTACACCTGAGATCATTAGACAAAGATCTCTCTGCACTTCACCTCTAAACAAGTGATGTGCCTACCCTGAATCAATTAAAATCTAAAATGTATTCATTTCAACTCTTGGATTTTTCCTATAAAATATATATAGTGGTCTCCAATCTAAGCAGTTGCAGTGCTATTAGGTCGTCCTCAAGCACTCAGCTGACAAGTAGTCACGAGTTTTAAAAAAATATTTATGCAAGAAAAGTTGCAGAATGAGCGTGGTATGAATTATTATGCTTGATTCCTTCCATTTTGTCCTTGAACTGCACTCAATAATATATAATTGGTGTGGTGTGCACTTAATATAAATTTATTTTGTCATATGGCTCACTTGCATCTTCTTTACCAAATGTATTTTCAATAACTTAAACTAGCATATGTATAATAGCAAACCCTGCATTTATAAGTAATATATTTTATTTACATATATATAAATACAGATATATATCAACATACATGTTTATGTTACAACGTACTGTCTTAGTCCACATGTTACTCCTTCCATGTAGATCACACCAAAAATGGCCTCCCATAGTGAGTTTTCCATCCCCAGCAATAAGATTAAGTGCTACTCAACATGTAAATTAGGGCAATAATGTTGCAGATTTCTTGGTTTTTGCTGAACTTAATAGGTGAAATGGAAATGCTAACTACACATTACAGCTGGGAATGGTAAACTTGTCAGGGCCGAATTACAGGCTTGGCCTGGCTCAGTAGTATGTGGACAACTTATTATTTATGGCTATAGTCCTCCGATAAACTTACTCATGATTTACTTAAGACCCATTGATTTGGTACATCTTGTTCCCCAATAATGCATTTGAAATTGAGACCTTGCTTTTCCACAATGAAAGGTGCAATGGCGTATCTGCATAAAAATGAGTTTGCTAACAAATTCAAGATACACTGATTTAGAACTAAGTTCTAAAGACACACAGATGAACTGTAGCTCAACACAGTGCTGCATTCTCCATAGAAAATTATTTAATGATAGGACCACAGGCAAATATTTATGTAAATAGATATTTTTTCGTGTTGATATTTTATGGTATACATATAGCTTTTTCTTTAGACCTCCATTGCATTATTTTCATTTTTCTTATTTGTAAGGTAATGTTTTTAGATCAACGTAGACTTGAATTAATGTCATAATTGTCAGTATTACTGAAGTTTATGTCAACTGTACCGTTGTCCATTTGTCCCATAGTTTAGAACATCATCTAGTTATTTGGCATTGTTGCAAGTGCCTTAAATTCATGGCATCCTATTAAAAAAAAAAATACAAATTTGGTGTTATGCTGCATGACCAAGACAAACACACCTCAAAATGTTGTCCTTTCTTAGCTTGCTGCGTTTTACAGTTCTTTCGGCTAACAGTTTATAAGCCTTTACTATATAATATTGATGAATTACAGAAATGATGACGTTGTTCTCTTATTTCTGTTATAAATGTACCAGAGCTGTGTATCTGTTAATGAGATACAGCATCATTTCTGTGAAATGTATAAATGTACGTGCAGGTCAAATTAATATATGACATACTATCAGTCTGTATACAGGTATTCCTGTTTTGCTAAGGTGTGCAAATTTTAAAACAGTAGTGCGGTAAAACTTCAGACATGCCACATTTTGTAATAGATTCCATAGTAAAAAAAATAAAAAATTAAAAAATCCAACCGGGCATATTAAACAATAAAATTGACATCATAGCAAAAATGGGGAGGGGGAAGGAAAGAAAAATCCTTCTGATTGGAAAATCATTGACTGAAGAAAAAAAGGGGGGGGGAATGAATCTTGTTGCACCACTGAACAAAACAGGCCCCGTGCTTTCTCTGGGTTGGTTCCAGACTTAGTTACCTTTAGAGTACACCTTTAGAGTGGTGGGTTGCTACCGGTTCACCCCGGATCAGGCAAACCGATAGCGGCAGCGGGAGCGGGAGGCTCCACCCACCTGCCCAGACGTCTTTGTGCGTGAGTGTGCGTGCTACCAGTTCGCACGCCCCCACAAGCGAATCGGTAGTGACCGAAATTGAAACCCACTACTGACCCATTCCCATCAATGGGATTTACAGAAATTGTAACTTCCATTGTTAGCGGTATACGCATAGCTGGCTTAAATCTGAAAGCAACCCTACGATTTTATGTATATGCAAACTGTTTCTGAGACACCTTCTCGGTAGTATATCTAGAAAGTGATACACTGAAAGCCTCGTCCACTTCTCTGTGAACGGTCAGCTCCAAGCCCTGAGACTTTGACGTTTCAGGCTTTAATTGCAAAGGGAAATTTGATTCAGAGTTGCCTAACTAATGTACTTATTCCAATGTATGATGTTTTTACACACGGTGGTTTCCTTTATAATCCTGATGGCTCTTTTTCTTCTCCATAAGGATTCTACACGAAGGAGGAGGAGTTAAGTTTTGTTTGTCCAAGAATAATACACTTTCATCAAGTGGTCTTTGACCAGTTGCACTCTTTTGATGTAGACTGAAAAAAAAAACAAAAAAACCTTTTTATCATGAAGTTAACTGCTTTTGTTTTGCTCTGTATTTTCCCTGCAGCTGTAATTGCCGAGTGCCTGTTGTATACTTTATAGAGTTGAAATAAAAAAAAATTTACTTTTGAACGGTGTCGTCCATATGTCATTTTTGAAGGGAATTGTTATCTAAATCACGGCTCCGTTACAGGTAGTCCTCAACTTACAACAGTTAGCTTAGGGAACATTCAAAGTTACAACGGCACTGAAAAAAGTCACTTATGACCGTTTTTCACACTTATGACCGTTGCAGCATCCCCATGGTCACGTGATCTACATTTGGATGCTTGACAACTGACTCACATTTATGACCGTTGCAGTGTCCTGGGGTCATGTGATTTCCCTTTTGCAACCTAACAAGCAAACCAGATTCACTTAACAACCATGTTACTCAGTGGTGGGTTGCTCCCGGTTCGGTCCGGTTCTTGCAAACCAGTAATAAAAGTGGCGGGAGGCTCCACCCACCCGCCCAGATATCATCATGGATGATCTGTGTATGCGCAGAAGCGCGTGCTCCCATTGCGAACCGGTAGTAAAGGTAAGTAGAACACACCTGATGTTACTAATTTAACAGCTGCTGTGATTCACTTAACAAATGGGGCAAGAAAAGTCATAAAATGGGCAAAAAAAAGGCAAAACTCAGTTAATAAATTTCTCACTTAGCAACATAAATTTTGGGCTCAATCATGTTGGTAAGTTGAGGACTAGCTGTACATATTTTGTTTTTGAACTCCGGTCTCTGCCAGAAGTTATCTACAGATAGATAAAGGAATGAATACGTGCATTACAAAATCATCTGTAATGACTACATGTACTTCAAAAATATATAAATGTCCTATCAAGCAAATGACAATAATCACAAAGGGGATTCACAATGACTGCCAATACCCACAATGACAGGGTATCTTCAAATGACTGCCATTAACACTTAATAAGATTTGGGCATGCAGTGTTTCTTAACCTGGGCAACTTTAAGACATATGGACTTCAACTCCCAGAATTCAACTCCAGCTCTGCTGGCTGGAGGATTCTGGGAAATGAAGTTCATATGTCTTATAATTGTCCTGGTTGAGAAACACTGGGATGCTGTATTGGAACCTCACCAAGGAAAACACACTATAATTCCAATATTGCCTTAAAGGCATGGTTGTGTCACCGGGTTTCTGAAACTTGATGTATGACACAGTCTGTACAATTCCACACTGGTTACACCCATTTATTTTTTGGTTGTTTAGATTCTACCTCAGATGTCAACTATGAATTTATTACCTCTATTGTTAAATGTTGTTATACAGGTTTTTAAACTGCGGTTAACTGTCATCATTTTTAATTGATCAATTGGAATAGAGCTGGAAGGGACCTTGGAGGTCTTCTAGTCCAACCCTCTGCTCAAGCAGGAGATCCTATACCATTTCAGATAAGTGGCTGTCCAGTCTCTTCTTAAAAACCTCCAGTGATGAAATACCCACAACTTCTGAAGACAAGGCATTCTACCGTTTAATTGCTCTCAGTGTTAGGAAGTTTCTCCATAATTCCAGGTTGCTTCTCTCTTTGATTAGTTTCCATCCATGGTTTCTTTTTCCTAGTCTCTAGTGCTTTGCAAAATAAGCTGACCCCCCTCTTCTGTGTGACAGCCCCTCAAATACTGGCACATTGCTATCATGTCACCCCTAATCCTTTTCTCTAGACTAGCCATACCCAATTCCTGCAACCGTTCTTCATGAACCCCTTGAACATCTTAGTTGCTCTTCTTTGCACTTTTTCCAAAATCTCAACATCCTTTTTGTAATGTGGATGCACCAGTTCAGGGTGGTCTTACTCAGTGGTGGTTGCTCCCGGTTCAGTCCGGTTCTTGCGAACCAGTAGTAAAAGCGGTGGGAGGCTCTGTCCACCCAGCCGGACATCATTATGGATGATCTGCACATGTGCAGAAGCGTGCGGGCAAACGAAGCGAGTGCATATGCATGCTCCCGTTGCAAACCGGTAGTAAAGGTAAGTAGAACCCACCCCTGGACTTTTTAAGTGGATGCAGTATTCCAGGTGTGGTTTTATTACGGTTTCAGTAAGGTTTTATTTATTTATTTTATTTTATTTTATTTTATTTTTCAATTTGTATACCGCCCTTCTCCCTAAGGATTCAGGGCGGTGCACAGCTAGAATTAAGAACATGAACTACAAATATTAAGAACAATTAAAATATATATAAATTTGGCCCCAAAATTTAAAAATCACAAACCAATTAAAACATTTAAAAAATTTAAAAATTTCTTTTTAAGAAATTTCCAGCCAGCCCGGCTTGCTGGAAAAAGTGGGTTTTAAGGGCACAGCGGAAGGCACTGAGGTTTTAAGTAAGATTTCAGAAGGCTGGCTACATAAATTGAAATGTAAATAACTAAAGCAACCTACAGTTCTATCTTTTCAGTTATGTTATGGGATTTTTAGTCAAATGCTCTTGAAATGACTTATCCTAGGATATCGATTTTAGTGCAGAATGGTTATGATTTCTTTCAAATCACATCACAATAAACTGTAGAATAGCAACACATTAAAATGCCAGCATGCAAAAAGGAAACAGCTGGGCATGTGAAAAATTGTTTAAAGAAAAATTAAAAACAACACCACATGACCTTCACAGGAAAATTTGGTTCAGAGATGTTGTTGTTGTTAGTTGCGAAGTCGTGTCTGACCCATCGCAATCGCATGGCTTAGGACCTGGTTATCTACGGGACCGCCTGCTACCACCAATAGCCTCCCACTGGCCAGTACGCTCCCATAAAGAGGGGCTCCTCCAGGTGCCGACTGCCAAACAATGTCGACTGGCGGCCCCTAGGGGGAGAGCCTTCTCTGTGGGGGCACCTACGATCTGGAACGAGCTCCCCCCGGAGATACGGAGGATCCCGGATCTTCGCACCTTCTGTCGCGCGCTTAAAACGTTTTTATTTCATCAAGCTGGCCTGGCCTAAATCATCTCCTCTTTTAAATTTAAATTTAAAACATAAATTTTAATCTATTTAATTATGGGGTATTTTAAAATTCAGCCTAAATTATTTAATTCGTTTTAATTTATTTTAAATTTTGTATTTCTGTGTTTTATCTTCTGGCTGTTCACCGCCCTGAGTCCTTCGGGAGAAGGGCGGTATAGAAATTTAATAAAATAAAATAAATAAATAAAATAATCCCATGGACAACTTTCCTCCAGGCCTTCTTGTCCTCTACCATCCCCTGGAGACCATTTAAGACCCTTTAAGGTTCAGAGATACAATTACTCTAAAGAAAGACTTGTAATTATCTACCTTATGTAAGTAGATGGGAAAAGTCACAGCATTTTATGATAGCCAGGTTAATGACAAGCATTTTGGTGAGGAGTAGACAAAACGTGTCACAGATTTATATCATAACAACAAAAATATGTGCAAATGAAGTATTTTTTTACGACAAGGATTGCTTTGCTATTGGCAAGTGAGTGTAATGTATTTCATACCAGTGGTGGGTTTCAAATTTTTATATTACCGGTTCTGTAGGTGTGGCTTGGTAGCGTGGCAGGGGAAGGATACTGTAAAATCTCCATTCCCTCCCCACTCCAGGGAAAGGTTACTGTAAAATCCCCATTTCCTCCTGATCAGCTGGGATTCCGGAGGCAGAAAATAGATGGGGTGGGGCCAGTCAGAGGTGGTATTTACCGGTTCTCCAAACTACTCAAAATTTCCACTACCGGTTCCCCAGAACTGGTCAGAACCTGCTGAAACCCACCTCTGTCTCATACCCTTCTGAAAGCAGAAAGATGTAGATTTTTTTCCTTTGAAAAAAAGTCCTTGAAATCCAGTCCATACTATAGCAAATTTTTTTTTTTAATTTTGTAAAGCCACAGCAAGACATTTTCTACAAATTCTGATGCTGCCTCAATTTTCAGTTCCTATCTATTTTCTGGCCTCAGCAAGTATTCAATTCTTTGCAGGACCTGAGAGCATTTTAGCTATAAAAACGTCACCTGTAGACAGTCAGCTAATTCCAATTACATGCTATAATTAAAGAGTCCTGTTCTAAAATACAGGCACCCAGCTCTTAAAGGGAATTGACCTTTGCAGTCTCTACTGTTTTCATAAAATGAATAGTAGTGCAGTTCTATGGAATTTTATTGCTCCGTCTTTCTACTTTGAAAGCCCTTTTCATATGAAAGATAAGCTTAATGATATTTTTATCTTCCCTGAGTGAAGGAAATCAGTAAAATGAATTGCCTACATTTCTCTAGGAATGGTGAAAAACTTTTCAAAAGAATTGGAATGAATTAAACAAGGGGAAACATAAGGCTTGATGGAACAGCCCCAACTATGAATATATTAGGTGTATTGCTACTGTCATGAATCAAAAAATCCCAAAAGGTGAGAGAGCTGCTGCATTATTGAATGATGCCAGAAAGAAACATGAGTTTTGGAGCAACTAACTGATGCAGGACAGGAAGAATATTAACACCTCTGAACTTAGGTTCTGGAGAAGATTTCTGAGAGTATCATGGACAGCTGAGAAACAAATGGATCATTGAACAAATTAATTCAGTAGCCTCACTCAAGACACAAGTGACCTTGTAGGCTCAAATGATCTTACTTTGGACACATAATGTCAAGACATAGCAGTAAACTCAATAAAGATGAAAAGTACAGCAGATCAGGTAGAATCTCACATTTCTTTGCTAAAAGCTTGGATGAAGATCAGCTGTCCTCTCCGTTAATTTGCTTCCTTGGGAATGAAGAAAACCTATCCAGTAGCATTCAGACAACCAAAGGAATTAAGCCTTCTACCCTTCAACAAGAGGATAAAAGGTTCAGCCAAAATCAGAGATAGCAAAGTTTCAAGGGGAGAAAACGCCCCACTATAAAGTTAGCTCGTTTGACACAGTAGTTAAAGTGCTGATGTAGAAAGTAGGAGGCTGTGAGTTCTAGTCCCAGCTTAGGCCCCAAAGCTGGCTATAGCTGACTTTGAATCAGTTACTCTTTCTCAGCCCAACTCACCTCACAGGGTTCTTGTGTGGAAAATGAGATGAAGCTGCCTTGTGTTATTTATAAAATAAAAGGAGGAATAAAAATCTAATAAAT